CCCTAGAATCAACCTGTATGCCAAAATTGAGCTTCTTACGTTGAGTGGTTTGAGCAGGATCGTGATTAATCAGTGAGTCAGTCACTTAAGGATTTTATATATTAGTATAGATTAGTATAGATGTAGTTAAAAATAAATATAAAAATGTGGTATGCCTAAAAATAATGTCGTTTGTTTCTAGAATTATTAGTAATAGACATTCATATGATTAAAATTAATACTCGTAATTTTTTGTGTAGAGATTTAAAATTACAGTGAATACAAATATGTTGAATATGGATAATGTAGGAGGTGAGAACACTGCAAGGTTTAGATACATCGGCACCGTAGAGAAATATTAAGTGAATAAACAAGTGGGGGGCACTAAAAAGTTTTGTAAAATGTCCCAGAAAATGTCAAGAAAGATATAAGATTTTTAACAATATTTTTTTCACGAAAAAAAACTATAGGCGTGTTTCTGGGGTCGACATATACTAACAGTTAAAATACTTGCACTTATTTCTGAGACACCCTGTATAACGTATATATGATGCTGATTATTATAATATTGGGGAACTTTAAGTCATTTATAAAAATGTCAGATGTCATTTGTTATTTGAGTATTGTTTTCTTTCCCTGTAGTCGTCACAAATTGGCCCCCCTGAATAACAAAATATATAATAATATATATGCGACCGACCTATATATTATTTCCCTCGTCGCGTCACGCCCTTTGGTGTCAGTCCTTATTTAAAATAATATTCCAGACCTTCACATCTGTGATCCCCCGGGATCCAAAGCGATTTGTCGCCCGTCTCGCGCGAGATTCCGGGGTTTTAGGGTCTGGAAGACGATGTAGAGCACCAGTTAATCTAGACGGCTACGGATCCACCTTCCTGAGCTTCACTGATTAGTAATTAATAAACGTATTACCGATACAGGGTAACAGCCGTTGCAAAAAACTCATTGCAACTTTATTAGAATATTTTGAACGGGAAAGCGGTAGTAATGGCCCTTTATGTCCCTTTAGTGCTGTTAAGAAGGTGAATTTTGTTGATGTAAATAATAATTGTTTATATATTTATAATTAATTTATTTTTGTTTCCTAAAATATTTGATTAAAAGAAAATATATATATATAGTATTGTCTTATAAATTATGTTCTAGTATTTTATTTCTTATAATTTTTGCGTCGTTGTTTTTAAAATTTAAATTCATATTTAAATAAATAAATCGTGTGAAAGAAGCTTTTATTAAAGTATAATGTTTTTTCTTAGTTCTTAAGTATGTCAAACATCCTATGTTATTGGTATAAATTTTAGTATAAAGTTGCTGCATCAGACATTTCTTCCTTAAGTAAAGTTGTTTTTTAAGTAAAGCTGTCAAAATATTTAAGATTATAATTTTTAAATACTAAGAAAGTTTAATATTTGCAGAGGATTTCTGCGATGGCATCATCAGTTAAAATAACAACGGGAGGGTTAATAACTGAGCCTTAATATATGTATTTGTGGCTGTGCTGAAAATTGCATAAACTAAAGTTTTCGTGTCTAATACGTGCCAAAAATAAAATTATATTAAGAGAAAGGCTGATGTCTTTCCAAAATAGTTTCTTGGGTGATATAAATAAAAAATTATAAATTTCTTTTGTAGAAGGGTTGGAAAATTATGAAATTGTGCACTAAATTATTAAAATTCTTTACTAATGAAATATATAGCATCTTCAATTGAATTTTGTTTGGAAATTTTATTGAATAAAAAAATCTTTAAGATTTTACGTTAATACTTAGACAGTAGTTTTCATAAGACAATTTATTAGGTATGATATAATATATTTGATACCAATTAAACTTTTAGCTACGTAATCGACGGCGCGACTTTTAAATTCATTGGTGCCAATTATGGACATATTCGGCGCCGCGCCGGGCTGACTAACTGGAATTTAAATTTCCCGCTGGGGATTCAGGTGGCAGCTCTGCTGTAAATAATGTCAAGTTCTCACATTTATTTATTTTTATTACTTCCTAGCATTGTCATTCGTTTTGACACTTTAGTTATGCATTAAGAGTTTCTGGTTTAAATGAATTATGATGTGATCTAGCAGACCTCGCAGTCAACATTGTTCTTTTTAGAACCTCTTTTAGTAAAGGGTACAAGATAGCTTAATAGCCGTAAAAAACTTATCGCAACTTTAATATTTTGAACGGGAAAGCGGTAGTAATGGCCTTTTATGTCCCTTAAGTGCTGTTAAGAAGATGAGTTTTGTTGATGTAAACTGTTATATTTATAATTAATTAATTTTTGTTTCCTAAAACGTTTTGAATAAAAGAAAATATGTAACAGTCGGCAACGCTGTGCCGGTTAAGCTTAATCACGTGACTAAAAGTTTATTTGATTTGAACTATACATATTATTGTTTATTATAAAGAAAAATTAGAATTTTAGAATGTACAAAACTGTTTTCGAAATTCGACGTATCTACATAAATTTATCAAATTAAAATATTCACATGTTAGCAAATATATTATGAAGATTTTTCATCTGATATGATATTTATTTTTTTAATAAATTAAATATTAATCATTTAGTAGGAAGTATGCAAAATAGAATTAAGCTACATTTTTTTCTCTGTAAAAGAAGAAAATTTGTTCTTCACAGCTTGTTTCCTCTTCAGTTTCTTTTTAATTTTTAATATTGCAAATTTTACAAAGAAACTTTGCTCATAAAATCGGTTTCATGTAGTTTTCAAGACAGGGTGCATATAATTGTGTGGACGAATATTGCTTGTATGATAATCTTAAATTTCTTTACCTTGAGAAAATATAATGCAATTTAATATAATCACAACCTATTTATTAAACAGCCAGTCGACTTCACTCGTATTTAAGTACCTATGCCATGCGTTTCTGGCATTGGAAGGATAGTAATCTGCCGGTTTGCATGTTTAGCCCCACCATACGAAGGAAGCGCGTCAGATATTTAAAAGGGATACTAATTGATCCCCAAAGAAGCTTCTATTCAAAAGGCTGTCAATTAGGACGCGACCAGAACTTAATTCAGATTTTTTAGAAATGCATAGTTCTCAGCACGACACTTTATTGACGCTTCCAGGTACTTCAGCTTTTGGAAATCGACAGATTATGTTAAGTTTCATTCAGAACCTCGCAATTAGTGAAATAAATTAGTGATTTCAATTAGCGTAGAAGTTTGATGCTTTAATTTCAATGTAAGCATTCACAACGTCAAAATTAGTGTTAGACATTTTCAATTAGTAGAAAAAGTTATCAAATTTTTAACTTTTCCACTAATTATACTTCAAAATTTCCGAGAAAGGTCATTTTGGCCTTTGATTATCTTCCGTCAAGAGAAATTGTGGTTAGAAATCAAAAGTGGACTGTTTTATAAGCTAAATATTAGGCTTTCTCTATGGATACAACTGACTAACACAAGCTGTTGCTAGGATATTCTCACAAAACATCCCCCTTTAGAACTTTTTCTTTAATGGCCATAAGCGGGAGTAAAAGCACAACCGCCCGAACAAACACTAGAGGCGCCACCGGTCATCAAGTGGTGTAAAAATTGCGAAAATTTAATCATCTAATTTTGACACAAGGGGTCGCGCTTAACTTTTCAATTTTAATTCAATATTCATTGTTTTCAAACTATATTATTAGACTTTGTTGTATTTTGTGAATGTATAAATGTTTTCTTAGTATAAAGTTGCATTATAGTAATTTAAATTATATTACATACATATTTAAGATTCAAATATTATGACATATGTCAGTTGCCGTCTAAAATGTCATCTTGATAACAAAAAGTTAGTTATTGTCAAAATTAGTTAAATTCATTTTAAAATATTAAAATTTACAAGTTATAATTAGATATTTTATATTATTTCAACAACAAACATATAATAGTACAGCGTAATGTTGATATGCAGGTCCAAAACAAAAAGTGCCGTTATATTTTTCAGTTTTCGTTGTCAGCCGCGGAAGTTTCAGTGATTTTAGTGCTGTCGGATATTTTATTTGTGAAATAGAAATATTGCGTTTGGATTGCAAAACTAAAAGTGGAAGTTTTATTGCAATGTAAGTAGCTGCTTGTCCATTTTATGTTTTACTTTTTCATACCTACGACAAATATACATATATTGAAATTTTATAATTCGTTTTATTTAAAAAATGTTAGAAAACAAGCTTGTAATCCTGTAATTGACATAATTTATTTATTGTTATGTAATATATTCCATTTAAATGTAATATATTACTTTACAATTAAAAAAATGTAAATTTAAAAAATATATTAAAAATATATACAGGCATTAATTGAAATTTTTTGAGTGCGAACAAACACGAGAGGCGCTTTATTATTTACATTCATTTCTTAACATGACAGATGAAGTTCTAAAGGGGGATGTTTTGTGGATATTCTATTAATTTTAATTGTGTTTTTTAAACGTTGTGAATGATCGTAAACTAAAAAGTATAAATTGTAATTGAAACCGCTAATTTATTCCAGTAATTGCGAGGTTCGGAATGAAGCTTTATTCCCAAAATACTTTTATTTATTTATTTTGTGAAAAACCCTGTATGTATAGCATATTACCCTGACATAAATGACAGGTATAACCGTTCAAGGTTTGTTTGTAAACAATACAAGGACCTCCACAAAAAATTAAGGTTATGGGGTATTCTTTTGCGTAGAATTTTTTTTCTATAGTCGTAGTAGCACAGCTCCCCTTTTGCTTTTGTCTTTTTATTTTTATAAGGTGATAAAAATTTTATCAGACCAAAACAGGCTTGGTGACGTAGTAATAAGAGGTTGATCGTTACGAGGGTTGTTATTTAGGTAATCCTTGAGATATGGTTGGAGTTTTTAGTACTTTCGTGAAATTACATATCCTCAAATTGTGATAAAAAATACGCGATGCTTTATAACATTAGATATTAGATTATATAAGTATATGCTACTATGATTATGTTATAATGACTTTTATTATTTTTCAACTATTGTTTCAGATTTATATGGACTCGAACCAGCTTTATCAAGGCGGGTAGTGAAGTGGAGGTACAATGGCAAGTCAGGAATGGAGCTGAATCCGGTACTTACAGAATTAAGCACTACGGTCACTACAAATCACTACTAGGTGGCATATATCCTTATCAAGGTACCAGTCATAATTTCACTGTTACATCTAGCTGATTTTTAAGTTATATCAATTTTTGTGCCATATTTGTGATATTTTTTAATTTTTTTCTAATATACAGGGTGGTCCAAACTGTATTCTGGAAATTTCGGCAGCATATTCTGCATATAAAAATAAGTAAAAAAGTTCGTAAAAATATATGTCCCAAAGTAACGTCAATATTTGGATGAAAATTGGTGTCTGGGAGTTTTTGACATGAGAAATTTGATTTTGATTTGTCAATATGACTCCTACTTGTAGACAACGCTACCTACATATTTTTTAACTGGTTTGAAGGGTAATCACTTTTTGTCCGCACCTGTATAAAACTACTGGGTGAAAAAAGATACATTTAGACGAAAAATTTCGGAAAATATAAATTTTCCGAAATTTTGAAAGCATCTTATAACATACATTTATACGAACTATTTTACTTATTTTTATCTACAGATGCTGTCGAAGTTTCCGGAATACAGTTCGGACCACCCTGTATAGGCATTTTTCTTTAGTTAAGTAGAACATATACCAAATATGTTAAAACATAGTTATTTTTGATAAAAATGCTAAAAGTAATGTGCTCTAAAATGCTAAAAGATGTGTTTTTCATCCTTTTGAGCAAAATAAAATTACTTTAGCACCTACGAATTTATTTTTACGTTCACAAATTTTCAATAATTTACACATTAAATGATCGTACAAGTATCTTCAAAGCAAAACGAAAAAACTTGAAAATAAAAAATGAATTTCGTTGAAAATGCTGAATGAATTTCAATATTTCTCCACAATTTTGTCTTGTAATTTAATATTTTTTTACTTCTAGTATTAAATTATTAATTTTTAATATAAAATTATTTCTTTGTTTAGTTCATTCTTGTTATATTTTGATTAATTCAGGTAGACTAAGTGATAAGCAAAGAGGCTGTAATAATACATAATGTGATCAGTAGTGTAGCCAAGATAATTAGCAGCGAAGAGCCATTTTTTTAGTCTTTATAAATGATGGATATTATTAATAATAATTATTAAAAGTACAGTTGTTATTTTAGGATAATATTTTAAAGCCCCTTTCTGGCTTTCTCTTGGTTACGCCCCTGAATGAACGTAACTAATACAATAATCTTGCCAAATAAATACATATTAATTTATTAATACATCTCTGTGTTTTATTTTGAAACCTTCTAAATAAAAGGCTGTTATAATTAACCGCGGCAGTGGATGTAATGAAGTTCTTTGAGTTAGGTTAATTGAATTTGAAATAAACAGACTTAACAACAAAGGAATACCAACGAGATAAACATAAACACGCTGGATAACTAGAAAATTTTGAGGAACTTTTGTGTTACTTAAGATTAATTGCATCGTTGTTCAGTTAATGAGTTTTAGAGAATATTAAAAAAAATCAGTAATTAATAAACTTATTATGCTAAACAACTGAAATTTTGCAATAGTGGAGTGCTTTAAGCCGTTATGGGACACAAACCTCGGAATTCATTTACTGTGAACGAATTTTTATAAAACTTTTTGCATTGTATTGTTAATAAGATATATTACAAAGTTTACCGATTTAAATTCGTTGCTTTCACACTTTAGTATTTAAATAAACACACATATACAAATGCATACATACAAGATGGCTCAAATATATATCTATATTTGTGAGTCAAATATATATCTATATTTGTTTAGTTCAGTGAATTTGTTATAAAATTTAATTAATACGTTAAGTGGTTTTTGAATGAGGAAGATGCATATATTTTATTTTTCGCCAGAAACTGTTCAATTTATTAGAATAAATATGTATAAACTTTTTTCTTGAAAGCAGTACCACAATTTTATAAAATGGGTCATTAAAATACTATGGATAACGCAAACGACGCCTCGCGAATTGAAACGATATTCTTATTGGCCTGACGTCACCCGCCGTTCTCGTCGACGCGCGATGGCCAGCAGCAGCCAGACGTGTTCCGGTTTATGTGCCGTATTTAGGTGGCGTACTAAGACATTTTTGTTGCTTGTAAAGCGTTGATTGAAGCGAGCTTTTTTATGCTTTTTTTTATGCAGTTATTATTTGTATGTGTTGTGTGTTCTGAGAATTTTTTAAGTAATGACAGATTCCGGGTTTGTAAAAGCACAATCATATAACTTGCCAAAAGCGGATGCTTTTATGTTGGCTGCTTTTATAAATACAAATTCCCAATTTATTGGTGCTGAATTACGAGGAAAAAAACAGAGAGGTATGTAACATTTATTCTTTGCAGTACTGAGGCATATTTAAATATAAGTAGGTACCTACTGTCACGAACTTTTATATAGTTATAAATTAGTGTTATAAACTAATTTTTCAGATCAGGTAGGGAGACGTATGGAGATAATGCTGTAGGTTATGTAGAAGTGAAAAGAGACAAAAATATTTGTTTAGTACGTGAAAATAACTCCAGAGCATAGCGTGAAAAAGAAAGTTTTTTTATATATTGACAATTCTCTACTCTTGTTATTTTTAAAGATTGTTTTTACGACTATTATAGGAAATACCTTTGTTTATCAGGTACGAAAATATTATAACCAGGTGTCCCATAAGCAAACGCCAAAATTAAGTTACTTTTTTCAGTGAAACACTCTATATATTTTTGATTCTTCGAAATTTCTAGATATATTTCATATATAATATCCTTATTCTATCTTCAATATGTTTACGAAATATTGACAGTTGAAAAAGCGAAAAATACCTACAATTTTAGGGACCATCTTTTTTGAGACACCCTGTATAACTAGAATTAATTTTAAAAGAGAGTATATGAAAAACCATGCAACTTTTTTATTTAATGTTTTCTTCTAAAACTTGCAGTTAAGGCTGTATGTGGGTGTCAAAATATAATGAATAATCCTGTACATTCAAATTTCATATACCTATGTAATGTATACATATATAGACAATATACATAAATATATGAACTTACATCAAAATGATCTTCACAACAATAAATCGTAAAAATAGAGTGATAATTTAACGTTTTTCTTTTCATATCTTCTCATGGCGCGCGGAGAGTGCTTTTCACACAAGGTCGTTATCACCTGTGACGTAGCGACCAACCTGCGCAATATCATACCTTGTATTCTTTGTACCATGCTTTAAGCCTTTATGGGACACAAACCTTGGACCATTTTTTTCTGTTTTCGCTCATCCATTACTATTTATAAATATCACTAACTACTAATTATGTATTAATTAATACAAATAACTATAATTTTGACCTGGATTCAACAGTTTAAAAAGCAAACTGTGTAAAATAAACACGCGTCTGGCTCCACTCAACCAGAAGAACGGCGGGTGACGTCACAGCGGCAAGGCGCAGTAGAGAGCGTTTGCCCGGCCATTTAAATTAACAATATTTAATTATTTTATATTAGAGGCATTTCTTAACCGATATCAACGATTTTTTTTTGTTCAATTTGTAATAATATGAACTATTTTTTAAAACCATTATTTAAAAACATGCATTTTCCTCATTATGACCACGTCCATGAGGACGTCAATCTAGACGTCCAGGAACCTTCGTATGAGAACTTCTAATCGAGACGATCGACTTATTGTAAGTTTATCGCTAAGAAACCGCCGTTTGCCAGCTTTTAAAATTGATGATGAATTGCACTTAAGGAACGTACATATTAACTATCGGATTATACGAAGACCATTAAATGAAACAAATCTTATGTCAAAGATTTGCTTATGTCAAGAAGGCCTGCTTCGGGACCAGAACTTACTAGATTGTTCACTAGGCCCAAAAGCAAAGGCATGGTCTTAATGTAAAAATTACGAAAAAATGTGTCTCCTTCAAAAGCGAACATTTCCAACAAAAATAAAGCTAATGAGATGAACCAAAAAACAAACCATCGAGAAAGGATGTATCTAGAGGATAACATGATATTTAAATTTCTTGCTGTTTTAATATATTCCACAGGGTGTTTCAAACTTTCATCAAAATATCAACATTTTGTTTTCCCTCGTATAATTAACAGATGGGGAGTTTCATTTTTAATTTAGAAATAGATACTAAAAGGTCAAATAATTTGACTACAAACTTCTTAAAAAATTATCGAAATCGGCCCATTAAAAAAAAATATATTAACCTGTAAAATACATCAAACTTTTAAGGTGCCTATTTTTCGTGCCGGTGAATGTATTTCAAAAACTATACATTTTAGTCATATACTTTTCTAATGAAACATACCTTTATTTTTTTAGTAGAATCCAAAAATCAATTAATATATAGGGTGTTCCATTATAAAAAAACATAACTTTGATGTGTAACTTTGTTTGGGGACACCCTGTAGAACTGTAACGTTTTTAGTTCGTTACATGTCTTTTTTATATATAATATATGATGTCTGGGCCTATCATCACCGGATTCCCTCTCGTTCAGGCCGGATAGTTTATTTGACGCGTAATTTTTACGTTCTCTAGTCGGCAACCCTGCTATTGTTTCACTGTTCTGTGGAGGCGCTGTCATCATCGCTTCTGTCAACTCTCTCCGTGCTTAACTTCACTTGTAGGGATGTCAATTTATTTAAAAATACCGGTTTTTCGGTTAACCGGTTATTTTACCACCTCTATTAACTGCTCGGTTAAAACTGGTATAAAACACCGGCTATTCCGGTTAACCGGATATTTTTTTAAATAATACCAGAGTAATTTCATGTCAGTTTAGAAAAATGTGGAATGTCTAATGATGTATTGTTTGTCTACAATATAGGTACACAGCAATATAAATACGCCAGAGATACTGAATATAATTTGTTTAAATGTTCCCGATATTAGACTTAGAGTGAGATCAAATGTATTTAAAGTTTCTAATATACAATCACCACTAAACAGATGCCTTGAAATTGTAAATAGATTAAGATTAGATAATATAGATAATTTTTATAGGTACATTTTTTCAATACTAGAAATAAAATTATTAAATATTTGTATTAAATACTACACGTTAGTTAGTAATAATGTTTGTTTAGGGTTAGTTAGTGTTAGTTAATTTGTTTTTGGTTTATATTTTATTATATGTATTGTTTTAAGATTTGGATTTTTCTGTAAATTCGCCGTATAAATAAAGTTCTTTATTATTATATTTATTTATATTTTCGTAAAGGTTACATAAACAATAAACATAAACAAAAAATGTTATTATATTAGTCTACCCAAAACGATTTGGAACACCGGTACATAAACACCCTCTCTGTCACATGTCTGTCGTTAGGCTTCTGGTCGTCTTTGATGATGGAATTTAATGTCGAAAACCAATCTTTGGAGGCAACCGAGCTTCCCACGACGGTTAAATATTTCATTGCAATAGATGATAATGCTGTCATCAGCGTTTTACTCTGGTGCCAAACTGATTGATCCTGCATCCCAGTAATACTGGTTGTTGCATATAACTTTAGTTCGTTAGGAAAGGAACTTTCAACCCTGTAGATGCCATTCCAGATTTTTCAAGCGATTTTGTCGTGCATGCTCCATAATGAGACAGGGTCTTCCTGTTCCTTTGGAGGATGAACTTGTAGGTGGAGAGCAATTCCCTAATTCTTTCTGCTCTTTTTGATTTCTTCTTTAATTTGCATGACTGCCTGACTTGCCACAACAGATTTCAAACCGCTAAACATCAAAATGTCGACTCCACTTTCACTTGTCGTCCAACTGAAAAGATGGAATTTTTCCGTCGTACATTCACTTCATTGTTCTTGGTCGACTCAATTTTCATGTGCTCATTTTGTTCACCGGTTTTCGGTTTTTTGGTTTAAAAACCGGATATAACTGGAGCAAATAAATAACCGTTATTAACCGGTTAACCGAATGGAAATAACCGGTTTTTCGGTTTTAACCTCCGGTTTTTGACATGCCTATTCACTTGGCTTTGACTTGGCTTTGACCGTCCGACTGTCACCATCAAAAAATCCTTGCTTCGAGAAACTGCAATTATAAAATTCTTGCTGTATAATTTGAATCAGCTGCTATTTCGAAGTTACAGGTAAAAATGAGATATTATCTTTTTTGATTCGTTATTATTACTGCGTATTTTTAGGTAGAGTTTTGATGTCCCAACCTTACTTGTATTTGTATTTTGCTGGCACGTTGGCGCCCCTTTTCTTTTGTCCTCCA